CCACCATGGTTTAATCTGTAAGGTCCCAATTTGTGCTTGTTTCAAGGGTATCTTCTTGTCCGTCTTTTGTGTTCTGACTGTGTAAGTTTTTTTTGGTTCTTTGCTTCCTTCTCTGTTTTCTAAATCGATTGAAGCTTCCATCTTTAATTGGAGGTCGCAGAAAGAAAAGAGTGGTGGGTGAGAAATCATAGGGAAGGGAGTTTCTTATGGAAGAATGGGCTCCAACATCAAGAGCACAAAGACGTTTATCCTCATCACTGAATTCATGGACATGTTATTCGATATAATCACCATCTTGAACATTATCCTTCGTAGATTGGATCATAGGTATATGAGGACCCTTTTTAACAATGTCTATCATGGAGTAATCCATAGTTTCAAGGACCATCATTGCCTTTGACTTCCACATGGTGAAGTTTTTTTCATCGAACTGTGGAATTTTATTACTAGAAGTGGTTTCGGAAGGATTTGAAGAAGAGGATGAGGACATTGTTAATAGATCAAAGTAACCTGCTCTGATATCAGTTGTAGGTTCCCTTGATCTATGAAGATTAACAATAAGAATGAATGAAAGAACTCATAATAGTAACACAAAGGTTTTTCACTAAGAAAATGTTTTCATCAAGAGAACGAGCACTAAGATCTTGGGTTCGATAAACATCTAATGATACGAACCCTAATATTTATAGTAAAGCAATACGATGTAAATCCCTACAAATCAGGGATATCACCTAATCTACGATAATAATAAAGTATGACCGATGTCATTAAGATATTGGATTTGCTAACTAACTACGTATATTTTATAATTACAGAAGATTACATGAAATATGCATACCATGCTGACACGACTTTGCCAACTTAACTTCATGCTGGCGCTTGGGAAACATTGGCGTTGATTGAGTCAGTGTGATTGTTTTACATCATCAGAGTCTAAGGCTTGACCTTATAGTTGTGTTTAAATATTTGCGATCGGCGACGATTTCTTTAATTGTCACATTCTCCCCCTGTTGTAAGAATTTTCGTCCCGAAATTCAACTCTTAGTTCCTACTGATCGACGATGTCTAGCGGTTGGATAGATCACCCCCGTAAGTAGATATATTAGCATTATGATATGAAATCACTGATAAAACTTATTTATAGGTTCATAATAACTATAATGAACTTAAATATAAGTTACACTTAAAGGAAAATAGGTGTAGCTTAACTAAAAGAGTTTCCTGACAAAATTTTGGAATGTTCGTAGGCAGAACTTCAACCCGAAAGCTTCCTTTTGCCGGGCTCTCTAATGCCCCAGGGCTTCGCGAACTATTTCTAAAATCTAAAGAAATTCGAGCTTAAGAACTCGGAGAATTGCAGAGAGAAAGATTGAAGGTGTGAGGGAGGAGGTTCTTGCACCTGCTATTTATAGGAAGTTTTTCGGCAATGTGCGTTGCGCTTAGACAAGGTGTGTGTCACACCCTGGCTTGGTCAGCAAGGGTTCCTCCAGAATATTGAACCAGAATATTGACAAATGGTGCGATGTTTGTGGTCCAACATCGCAATGAAATGCAAAAATCCTCAAACTTCGAAAAGTCGTATCTCTCTTATACGGGCTTCATTTTCGACGTTCTTTATATCCACGCGTGAGTATTTACGAGCACTACAACTTTCATCAAGATTATTTATCCTAAATAATCTTTTATTTTTGAATGTTATTTGACATAATTCATTAAATTCTACAATAATAATGTTTTATTAAAATATTATAAGCCCATAATATATACTCATAAACAAGTACACAATAAATATATTTTATTTATATAACTCGCATCGCGTATGAATGATTATTAATTATTTACGATTATGCTATTAATTAATTATATTATTATATTTTAATGTCTATTGTGAACTTGTGGACGTTACAAACAACAACAACAACAACAACAAATAAGTGGTGGAATGAAAACTTAGACTCACTTGATCAATAGGTAGATAATAAAATAGTTAAAGAAAATAAACATTTTTAACTTACATGATACATTGGGAGAAGTCATACTAAACATGAAAAGTGTGAAGACTTTAAGGATGAAATAGGTCGACTAAATATGAAAAGTGTGATGACTTTTAAGGATGAAATAGATTTTAGACGAGGAAGGTTCCATAAAAAACAATCCATTGCAGTAGATTATGAAGGAGATGCATATAACATCAAGTTAACATGTTATTCATATGGTGAATTTTAATTTTAAAACTCATGGATCATCAAGAATCTAATCCAAAATTTAATTGATAAAATTTAATTTGTATTAGGGTCCATACATACAAAAAGTAGCCTTATAAAAAACTGAAGTTGAATCATGCTCTGATACCACATGAAAAATCGTCATTGCGATAGATATTATAATAAAGAACATAATTATACCCAACACATAAAATCATTATCAAAATAGTTCAACGGTCATATTAATCGATTACTTTCTAACACTAACTTCTTGCTAGTAATTTTTAATAAAAATTAGCACTTCAAAAAAAAACATTTTCACCAATATTTTTGTTCTTAGCTATTGACCAATAGAAATTGTTGGTGGACAAATGGTTGAACTTACGGACATGTCCCCAGTTCTATCTTCTATGGACCATATCATATGCGTTGGTTGGCCTTTATATGGACCATATCATATGCGTTGGTTGACCTTTAAATAACTAATTCATCTTATTATTTACCAGTGCATTAAGGAAAAACATATAAAAACACAACATGAGACTGATTAATATGATGTTACCTTGATGTTTTATATTTACGTTTTAATTATTATGTCGCTGGATTAAGTTAAATTTCGAATGCTTTTAGTGAGATGCAACCATCCAAAACTATCATACGATCCACAAGAAGTTACAAGACCTTTGGTTTAGGAGAATTGGGTTAATAATGACTTCAACTACCAAGGTTGATATTTTTTTCTTTTTTTGCCCATATTTCCTTATCTTGTGGACAGTTGGACACCAATCCTTTTAGTTAAGAGAAATATGAGGTCACGAGCATGTGTATTATATATGACAACTGAGTAAATTTAAATCACTTTTTCACTAGACTGATAATATTGTAATTTAAATACATTCCTAATTAACCATCCAAATGTTATGTTTGGTAGATAGATCGAAACTAATCTTTAGTGGTCGACTAGCTGATAGATTAAAAAAATATTTATTAGTTGGTAGAAAATAATATTTGATAAAAGCTAAATAAAAAATATAAAATAACATAAAAAGAATTATTCAGTGTTATACGATGCATATCTAATATATTTCATTAAATTAAAACAAATAATAGATAATAGTTTTCATTTATTTATCTTTAAATGAAATTTATTGTATCCAAGTTTTAGTTATTATATATTAACATGATAAAAGTTCACAAATTGATCTTATGCTTTAAAAATTGTTTTCAAAATGGTCTTATGAAATCTTTTTCTTCTTTTTGCATAGATGGTCCTTATGTGTGGTTATGGTCGTAAACGAACCGAATGTTCAGCGAACTTAAACGAACAAACATGAACAAAATAATTGTTACACTACTCTATTATATATTCGTTTATGTTCATATAGTTCAATTGTATTTGTTTATCTTTGTTCGTTTATGTTGGTTTAGCTTGTTACGAAGATAAACGAACGAACATGAACAAAATAATTTGTTAAACAAAAAACATGAACAAGAAAACCCGTTTATTTATCCGTTTGTATTCGTTCGTTTGCTCGGCTAACTTAAAATAATCAACATGAACAATCATTTGTTCGTGTTCGTTCAGTTCGTTTACAGCTCTATGTACTCCTCTCGTTTCACCATTGGTTATTTTACTTTGAATTACAATCAACAAGTGTCCGGTGGCAAATGGGTAACCAAGTTAACCCTTCAATTGTCCAAAGTGACCAATTAGACCCGAAAACTTCCTGCCCTCATAAATCACCAGAAAAAAATTAAAGGACGTTCCAAAAATTTTGTTGGGCTAATGTGTCATTTCCCTATTCATAAACTCAACAAACATTATCTTAAGTTTAGTATAAAAGTATTTATTTTTAGGAGCAAACATTATCATAAATTTAACCATATCATCATGAATCGGTTAACATACACACATATTAAAAGTAATTTACGTAACATTATCACGATTGTGGAGGTATGTGAAATCGAAAACAAAAGGCACAAATGTTAGAATTTATCATTGGATATCAAGATAACAAAACCCAAAAAAATTTGAAACGATCTTTATCTGAAAACAAAATCGTACAATCTCTATAAAAAATCTGAACTAATCTAATTTGACGGATTACCCATAATCCAATAACTTCCAACCAAAAACTTTGATAATTTGGTGCAGATTATTCGAAATTATATGGAAAAATATGTTTTTTCCGTCCCATTTTGGATAAAATCTAGATTTTATGGATATCTTTTCCAACTTTCTAGAAATCACTAATATAACCAGGAGAGGTGCATATTCAACCATTTTTTTAACCGACGAAAAACGAACCGATTTTAGAAAAACCGGGTTAGGCATCATAGCATAAGTTTAAGTGAATTAGGTACTAGGATTAGTACTTAGACTTAAACTATATGTGCTCTAGATGTATTTGAAAATTCTAAGGTATTCGAACTCAGGGGCGGAGCTTTGTTAGGGCCGGAAGGGGTTGTGGGTCCCCCTGATTTTTTGGTTAGAAGTAATCCATATACATTAATTTTACAAATATTAGGCTCAAAAAACTAAATTTTGGTGCGACACAATCTTGTAAGTGGGCTATATATGTTGGATTTCTCATTCTTTCCACAAGGGCTCTTTTGGAGCGATAATCTTGGACTCCACATATATTTACACAAATGTTGTCCCTTTTGACAAAGTTTCTTGTGGTTTTGATATGTTGTAAATTCAAAATGACTATTAGACATTTATAAGACCATTTTTGCAGTTTTTTCTTAAATCAATGTTAACCGTAAGATGAAGCAAATCAAGGCAGGAAAAAATGAATCACATAGGGTTATCGTGTGTATATATTGATTATATAATGACTGAACTTTGCAGTGTTTTAAATCCCGTGTTACAATTTTATCCTTTAAATCATCTTAATGTTTCCGATGACCAGATGAAGCCATTAAAACTCCAACAGCCACAATAAACATGGACAACATGCCTATAAGGAATACATACGTTCTTCTCGAAGACTTTCTGTATTCACCAAAAATGAGCACACCCCAAAAGGTACTCACAAGTGGAAGCGCCTGAAACGTGTTCACAACAACAACATGAGATTAACATAGACATGCCACAATAAATTATCCAAATGCATTGGTTACTTGTACTTTAAAGTACAAGTTTATACAGACTTTAGAACTTACCTGAACCGCATCAGCTGCAGCATAACCAGCAGCTTGTCCTCCCATAAACTGGAGACCATTCCCAAAACCACACAGAAAGCCAGCCAGAAACGCCCAACCACGCCCTTCCCAGTCATTCAAATAGGCTTTGATTGAAGATTTAGGCAAGTTGAATGCCGGGTGATAAAGGAATGTAATGTTTAAAATTATGGCAATCACAAAACAAGAGCAAGAAAAGTAGAAAAAAGCTGTGTAGACACTTAAGTGAGGAACACCATCATCCAATGTATTCCATTGGTCATTGGTTGCAAGGTTAAATGCTGGTGAGAAGAGAGAAAAACAAATTCCAGCAAACAAACACATGGCTAAACCAATCAAAGTGCTCCTTCCAAATACCTGAAATCCCCACAAATTTGTCCCACATAAATGAAAAAGAAAAAAAAAAGTGGAGTGCGCTCTATGCCTATAAAATGAGTATGTTGAATTTTTTCTTTGGAGGCCCATGGTTTTTCTCTGGTTTTGAAGTTTTTTTTTTTGTATATGTTTTTGTGTTCTTATTTTCTATGGTCGGTTTTACACATGTTAGATAATTAAATTTCAACTCATTCAATGTGAACATGGGTGAATGTGGTTTATGTACAATATAACCTTGATTGCTCTTTGGCTCTCGAGTTCAATAAGAAAACTTGCAGTCCCTGCTTTCGCTTTCTCTCCTTTACCACCTCCATCCTCCAGATCCTTTTCTGATAATAAAAAAAGAATTATTAAACTAATAATCCAACTTAAAAAGGTTAGTGAAAAAATCCAAGTAGTCTTACTTGATGTCGCGTATGACCCGTTGCTAATTGATCTGTCACGTATTAATTGTTAGAATTCCAAAACTACAAGTCAATAGTTTGATATATGATGACACTAAAAAAAAGATATATACCCTTTTTTGTCAATTTTAGAACCTTTTAATCCATCAAGCTTTTCTTGATTATCTTTGGCATTAGATGCATGCACAACAGAACCAAGACAAACAGCAATCAAGAAACATGCAACCCCTGGGAAAAGTATCTCAGCTCTGTTGATTTTATCGTCTAAAAAGTAGTTCAAAGTTGTACCTATCACCCATTCACAAACTCAAAATCATGATCCAATATATGTTCAAAATAGTCATGATTATGATGATGATACCTATAACAACTGTAATACTTGCAGTGATGACCTCAGTTACTGATAAACCCACAAATGCCCAAGCGTACTGTGTTGACAGATTTCCAAGGCTTAAAACTACCCCACCTGCCATTGCAAACAGAACGCTTGGCCAATTGTTCTGAAAAAAGCAGATTGTAATTCACAACTCAAGAATGCATATGGACTATGAATGTGTGGCTCATTGATGCATTTTGTCGAATGGTTTATGTGCGTGATTATACCTGAGAAAGCTGGACTAGAAAATTGGGTTTGTCATCATTGGTATGGCCAAATTCTCCAAATGTGAAAGCGATTATGACAGCTGCCAGAAGATTGGTGATTGTGTAATCAAGATAAGTGTGTTGAGGAAGACGACCACGTCGTTCTAACAGAGTTAGAATTGCAGGCCATGTTCCTAGGAAGAGGAGCGCAAGCAGCATGCATGCTATGGCTCCTCCTCTGCTATCTACTATGTACATCTTCAAATTCGAATGGATTCCCTCAGTTGTAAAAGTAATCAAGAAACGAAACTCGGAAAAATCCTAAAACGAAAACTGAATTAATGTTAGAGGGTGTTAGCGTTTTTAAGAATCTTGAAATGAATCTAAAAGAAACTGTGCAAAAGTTGACTTTTTTTTTTCAACCAATCAAGTTGCAGAAAGATCATCCATTAAAATTAAGAAAGTTAACAAGTAAAATGGTTATATAAAAAAAAACACACATATTAAGATGAATCTCCAACAAAAGAAAATGATAGAATTTGCCCAAAATAGATAGTTCTTGCAAACTGTATTGTTTTTTTTTGACATTTTCGATAAACCATAAGATCAATATGCATTAAAAAAACCCAAATATTATAGTTTAAAAGATCGATAATTCTTAAAGAAAAGATACTAAGATGATGACATACATGAAACAAACAGAATTAACCATAAAGAAATGAATCTCGAAAAGCATAAGACGTAATTTGCATCTTTGACAAGAAAGAAAAAAAAAAGTCAAACCCACCATTGCATAGGAAAGCAGTTTACAAAAAATCGGGAACTGAGTTTAAAAGAAATTGCTAATCTCCAAAGAATCTGAAGATACTTAACAATCACGACAACCCTATAAATATATAAAATAAAAAGACATAATACCAACCAATCATAGAACAAAAGGTAATTCTGCAAACAAAAAAAAAACAAAATAAAGTAGCACATAAAGCCAGCAAATTTTCATTTCAATATAGCAATCAGGTCACTTTCATGAACAGTAATGATTGCGTACCAAATTTTTTTGGAGATGAGCAAGAAATGATGTGAGCCTTCAAAGATGCAGCACCATTAATGGAGTTTTATTTATGCTTTTAATTCAGATCCTTAAAGATTCCAACTTGATTCTTGTTGGGAAGGCAAGTTTAAGAAATAAAATAAGAGAAAAATGCATTGAGACTAGGAGAGGTGGAGAGGCGGTGAAGTGCTGTTAGTCTACAAAGATAAAGCGGATATCGGGCTTCTTATTATTTTGACAGATCACATATCCCACCTCATGACCCGAGACATGTTAAAAACAGATATTTTATTCACTAGGTGTCCATGTGGAAATTAAGGTAAACTTTGAAATTTTATCAAATTATATTCTTTGTTAATGTCTACGATCATGCTCGTTAAGGCATTCGCAATGTGGTTTCGTCCCCTAATAATCATTGTGGAAAACTTTGTACAAAGTGAAACATAATTAGGGTATACGTTACCAAACTCGACCGTTGAACAGTCAATTTTTCTTAAAAAAATATTTTTTATTTATTTATAAACACATACTACTACCTTATTTTTAATTACTTCTTTTTTTTTCTCTATATTTCATAAACTTTCAATACTTCCAAAAAAAATGTATCTGTTTGATTGTTCCATCCATGCAACGATGATGTTGATGACGATATCGTCGTAGCAACAATATTTTACGAACCTGCGATATCAAACAGAATTCACAAAGAAAGACATCGACGTCTAGTTAACGATTATTTTGCCGATCATTGTGTCTACTAGCCAAACGATTTCAAAAAAAGGTTTCGTTTGCGAAAAAATATGTTTGTACGGATAGCCAACACCTTGGAAAGCAGATATTATTTCTTTCAAGTTTTGTAATCTATAAATGTAGCTTTTACATAAATTAAATACATTTTTACCTATTAAATTGTGACATCCCCATTTTCACGGTCAGAAAAGACCGATTTTTGTTTATGCTTTATAAAAATCACTGTACTTCTTTTAACAAAAATGTTGCGGAATTTGTTCCCAGAAAACATGATAAATAGGTTATCAAAGCATTTCCGAGAAAATGTATTTTTATTCGTTTTCAAAACATTGGGATGTCATTGTCAATACAGATACATAAGCATAAACAGAACTTACATTATTTACACTAGTGATCTACATCTCTTTTAAATCTCTCAGTGTAAAGTAGCTTCGTATCGACACCTGTGATACAAATAAGCTTGAGTGGGTCAGGTTGGGAAACCTAGTGAGTACATAGGGTTTTCAACCCACAATAATATAATTATTATGTTTAAACATCAAACAATCAACTCAATTACCCATCCCCATTATTTTCCTTACTCTCAAGGGTCTACCCTAAGAGTCATCTATTCGTTCATTTCGAAGTCCCTTGTCTCCTAGGGTTATAAGACAGGCACTAAGTCCATAGCTGCCAATGCTCGTTCGTAAAACACTAAATCCATAGCTGCTAAAGTTCATTCATTGGGTACTAAATCCATAGCTACCAGTGTTCATCTAATAGGTACTAAGTCCATAGCTACCAACGTTTATCAGGTACTAAGTCCATAGCTACCAACGTTTATCCATCAGGTACTAAGTCCATAGCTACCAGTGTTTATCTATCAGGTACTAAGTCCATAACTGCCGATATTATTTAGGCACTAAGACTATAGCTGCCAATGTTCATTCACATCATCTTTCATCCCTCATCATTCATCTACCCATGTTTCACCAAACATATTTGTAGATATAAAATACATATACAGTTTAAATCATATAAAACTTGTATAAAATCGTTCATCCAGCATAGATAGCAAGTATACCAATAATATGCACACATAGCACGTAATTTATATAAAATACTTCATATCTATGTGTAAGATGAAAGTAACTATGCACTCACCTGGAAGGTGGTGTCTCTGCACTCGAACAACGCTTCGTTACTTCTTAAAACAATTTCCCTCGACAAAACCTAGTATCAATACCACTAGGGTTTAGTCTAACGTTAACCGCGACTAATTAATAGCCTAACTATTATTATTATTATATAAGCGTTAAATAACACTCAATATAATTCATAATAATAGCTCAAAAAATTATTTTAAGGACCTAATAACATTACTATAACTATTTAAAAGTTATATTAAAAATTGCGTAGGCGTAGCTCACTTACAACGGATTTTAATGAAAATCGGGCTTTGCTCGGAGCAGCGTTTCCGAACCGAAAGACCCTTTTTCTCGGGACTCCGGGAGCCTCGGGGCTTCCTTTAGAGGCTAGGGATTTTTCCTAGGGCTTAGGGGTGGTTTGGGGAGCTAGAGAGAGAAAGAAACTAGAGAGAGAATGAGAATTGGTGTGAAAAATTCGGAAACCCTCGCCCCCTTTTATATCCTGCGAGGCCTCGGACTACGCTGGACGTAATCCTTGGCTACGCGGCGCGTATCTTCGGATGAGGCTGCTAGCGAGCCTCCAGCTGTCTTGCACTCGGAACGGATAAGAGCCGGAGTACGCGGGGCGTACTCAACTTCGGACGCGAGGCGTAATGGCGAGGCGACGTGTCCGAATCCGAAGACCAGACCGTGATCAGCAAGCGATGGCCCTGATTGAGCCACATCATCACCCCCCTCGCAGTTTTGCATTTTCTTTCCCAACTTCTAAAAGTCATAACTTTCGCATATGAGCTCCGTTTTCGACGTTCTTTATATCCACGCGTAGGCGGGAACGTACTCTACAACTTTCGTTTAGACTCCGTCGGCTAATTTTGACTTTATTTTAAAAGTTATATTTTTAACAGGCCGGGACAGGATTGGTCCGTTAAAAATTCATAACTTCTTCATCCGACGTCCGTTTTCGTCTGTCTTTTTATCGTTATGCTACTATTAACGAGATCTTCGATTCTCGTTTAGGTTGTGTCAGCTAAAAACCGCTCGATCTAATATTCGAACTTCGGGTTGTACACTGCTAAGCCGAAACTTTGAAAAATCATAACTTCCTCATATGAAGTCAGATTTGGGCGTTCTTTTTATGGACGCTCTCGGTTTAACGTATTCTACGACTTTCGTTTAGACCTCTAAGGCTAAAACTCGCTCTATCGTAAATTCACTATTTACGCTTCCCGGTGCCGTGCCGGTTTTGCCGTAAAACTTCGACGGGTCATAACTTCTTCGTTATAACTCGGATTTCGACGTTCTTTATATGTACGGAACCCTTGAGACATTTTCTACAACTTGGTTAAGATTATTTATTCTAAATAATATTTTGTCGAAAAGTCGTTTTCGACCCCTATTATCTCCAGATTGACTAGTCCGGATCTACGGGCGTTACATAAATATACGTTTACATATGAATTTTTCCAAATAAGATATGATGCTAGAGGTAAGAGAAGATTCAAAAGGTTGCAAAAATATGTTGTGGCAATTAAGTTTATGGCTATTGGGAAGTCGCTTGATCCTATTGACGATTATATGAGAATGTCTGAGAGAACTGCAAGAGAAAGATTGTATACATTGGCGAGAGGTGTTATCGAAACCTTCGGTGACGCTTATTTACGCAAACCGTCGTTGAATGATATCCAACAACTATATACGGGACATGAAGAAAGACATGGTTTTTCGGGTATGATTGGAAGCATTGATTGCACACACTGGAACTGGAGAAATTGTCCCGTGGCATAGAAAGGCCAGTATGTAAGTGGTCATCATGGAACGCCCTTCATTGGTATTGTTGGATTAAGTGTCTAAGCCCATAACTATAATTGGTATAAACTTGAATTGATAGTAGCACAGTCTTTTTGGGTTGCCCTCAAACCTAACAATTGGACAAAATCATTTTTGGAGAGAGAGGTTGATTTATTATTTGATTAATAAACTGAAATAAATAATTTATTAATATATTATGAAAATAATATATTAGTTAGAGATAGTAATATTTAATTAATAATTAATCGGAAATTAATTTGAATTAATTTTAGGATTAATGTAATTAATTAAAAGTGCAAGGTCTAAAGTGCAATTGTTCAATAGTTGAACAAAAGACATTAGAACCTTCAACCAGGAGGGTGGACGATTTCAAAGGGGATAATCTAGGGTTTCTAGATTATCCCATGTGGATAATAAGGAAGTGGATAATCACCAAATTTGAATTATTATTATTTAATTCAAATCGGGTTAGATAGGGTTGCCTAGTTACACTACATAAGGACTCATAGGCTATGATTTCGGCCATCACTTCCTTCCCAAGGCTTAGCCGGAATTCTACTCTCCCCTATCCCCTATCCTCTCTCCATAATCTCCTTCTTGCTAGCTTGGGTGTGAACCACTAGAGACACGACATTTGTGGTTCTTGCTTCCAAAGGTTCTACAAGTCAAGGATAATTGTTATTTACTATAATAACAATAAGGTATGTAATCCTAAGCCCTTTCTTGTGTTTTTTGAAAATTACCTAGGGTTTCTAGGGTTCTTATTTTGATGTTCTTAGTTATAGGTTCAATAGTGAAAACATACATCTTGTTTTAGGTTGCATTTACACTTCAGAGTTTTAAGTTTGTTTTTGTTATGCCTAAAACCCATCAGGTATTAGAGGTTGTTGCTTCCCAAGATTTATGGATTTGACTTGCTTTTTTTTGGGTTGCGGGTTTCAACAACAATGTCAACGTTCTTGATCAGTCACTAATATTCGACGGTCTTTTGTTAGGAAAGGCACCAGATGCTCCTTTCATAATGAATGTAAATGAACATAAGTTTGTGTATTACCTTACAGATGGAATATATCCAACATATTCCACATTCGTGAAAGCGTTTTACCACCTAGTTGAACCAAGAGATAAATTTTTCAAGAGAATACAAGAAGGAGCACGTAAGGATGTAGAACGTGCTTTTGGAGTTCTAAACTCAAAATGGCACATAGTTGAACATGTGACACGACCATATCAATTAAAAACTCTACGTGATATTATGTATGCATGTATCATAATGCATAACATGGTGATTGCAGATAAATGATGAAATATTGCAGAGTATTCGGCTACAGAACCCAGACACGTGCAATTTCAACCAGTGACAACGAAATATTTATATAGAGTCGTTGATATTCAAGACGCATAAAAACATAATAAACTTCGAGAAGATCTGGGTGATTATATATACGTTGTTAACAAAGATGAATAATTTAGGGGGGAAAATGTAATTTTTCTTGTTTTTAAATTTTATT